TCCTGAGGTGCGTGAGGAGTCATCTATAGTGTATATCTATACACTCTATATCTATATCTGGATGTATATCTATACACTCTATATCTATATCTGGATGTATATCTATACACTCTATATCTATATCTGGATGTATATCTATACATCTCTATCTATATCTGGATATATATATACATATGGATATGTATGTATAGATGTATATATATATCAATGAAATGCTTAAATCCATAGATAATTTATAAAGTTTGCTGCACACTTGAATACTCATATCTAGTCATTTAGTTAAATCCTTCAGCTTTGATTAAAGTTGTTAAAATTTGGAGTGTTGAATGATGTAGCCTCCCTGGTGTGGACATATGAATATTTTCTCATTTATTAATGTCCTGTAGTGAAAGTATAACCTTTTACTTAAAGTAATTGGTTTGGAGATGGAATTAGAACATTCATTCTCCCCAATCTTCCCCTGCAATTTGTGAATTTGCTGATTATTTTTCTTGGTTATGAGTATAAGCTATGAATTGCCTTTACTCTATACATACACACATATACTCAAACAAACATATATACACATTCACACACAATGCAGACAGAGTTTTAGAGTGAACATTTAATTGCAGTTATAGCAGTAAGAGCAGGGTAGACAGGAATATGAGTTTATAAGACTGATCATGAAATAAGAACATTGAAGCAAGTAATGAGTCTAAATCCGATATTCATATCTCTATAACATTTAAAGCAGAGAAAATCATACCATCAAAGAATTTATTCAAAGTTAGCAAGTTTACTTTGAAAATTAGTACATCTCCAAGTAGTTAGATTAGCATGGAATGTCCCTGGAAATAATATTAGTAACACTGAAAAAGCAAAGCAAAGCAATCTGACAGTTCTAAATGAATGTAAATACAGTTTCAGCAACTATTAGGCAAGAAGCAAATGATCTTCTAATCAACTTACTGTTACAAAAATAGTTTAAAATTATTTTCCTGGGACACATAAAATAATTTTCACAGGACACATATAAGTATTGTTACCTTAGTTGCTTTGTTTCTACCTACTGTAGTTAGATTTTTAAAGCTATTCTATACTTGTGAGCAGGAATTTAAGAATGCACTGAAACTTGAATTTTCTTTTGTCTATCTAATGGATAACTTTATCGTTATCAGTGTGGCAGGATATAATAAGCCTGGGCTAGAGTGATTTCCTTGATAACTAATGGCAAAACCAATGGAAGGAAATTAATCACAGGGTCTACACTGAGATTCACAAGCTAATAAATTGGACAGTGTTCAAATTTATTTGGTTTTACCCAAGTCTTCTTAGTAGATAAATAGTGGTAAAAGAAATTAACATTGTTTTTCAAAAGTTAAATACATTTTTTGTCTAGAAAATGGATAGCAGGTTATTGGCATGGCCTTTATATTTTTAATTTCATAATTAACCACACACATTCTGTAGAGAAAATATACCACCTTCTAAGATTTCCCTCTTGCAGGACTGTTGAGGCTGTCAATAGCACAGGAAACATTGTGCAAACCTGCTAAGACCATATCCTAGGCCTAAAAAACCTCTGAGTTGAAAATAAATAAACATTCCTCTGCACTGTTAACTAGCCTTTAATTCCTCTAATGAGCCTTTGGAGGGACAATAATTCAAACTAGAGGTTCACCAAGCTAGTATCTGCAGAGGGAACAATTTGCCTTATAGCCTCTCCCAACACACTCAAGTTTTACACTACAATGTCAACACATAAGTGAGAGTGTGATGTTGTTAATGATAGTGGGAGACACAGGAGCAAAACAAACGATTGATAAAACATCACTTCTGAATATGAAGCACAGATTAAGTAACAAAGGAAACAATTGTTTGCATACAGCTTATGTTCTCATTGAAGACAAACCTGGCATTGTAAAATTGGCAATACTCTGTGTCTAAAAGTTTCTCTGAACTTGAGTTCTTTAAGCTGATGATGCTGATAGAAAGATTCCTACTCTTCTCTCATCCCAACGTTTGGGTAGTTCTGTGACCACAACCACTATCTATGTATTCAAATAATCTTGATTTTCAAAGGCAATAATGTATTACACATAGAAAAAGGTATTTGGGGGTCTTTTTAAAGGTTACAATTTCAAATACGTACCTGTACTTTTAAAGTCACAACTTTGTTTAGTTTTTATTTCTTTTTGAAAATATTTTGAATAAATTCATACTCATGAGACTATATTCCTATTTGTCTAATACCAAACATAATTTCATGTGACTGTGGATGCTTAACCAATACTATTTAATGACGCTGAAGTTAACTAAAATTATGCCAGTAGTGTCTCTTCATCCCCTGTTCTCTTCCCTCCACCTGAGGACCACTGCTTTGGAGACAGCCTGCACTTGTACTTCATTCTCCATTTTATAGAGAACAAACAGCTGCTAGACCAATTTGGCACACTGAAAACTCTATGATTCCCTAAAAGGCCCCACTCTAAATCAAGGTCACTGTACACTCCCTTTAAGCTAGAAAATAACAAATTATGAGTACTGGTATTGGATTATTTGGTCCATAGATTCCATAAAAGACTACCTCATATTTGAGTATCTTCCTTCATTAGTTGAGGTAAACAAAAATCCTGAATTGCATTCTGACATTCCTTGGAATAGACAAGTCTTGAATTGAGGTCAGTCAAAAGTTTTATAAGCCAAAAGGCATATATGTTGCCTTTCTCGTATTTAAAAATCCACTAACCCCAAATCATCAAATGAAATACCAACTCTGATGAGTATAAAAATTTTGTTTTCTAATTTCCAAGTCTAAAAGATTCAGATCACTTTTTGCCCATAATAAATGTATCTGCTGAGTTAAATGACTTGTAAAACCTCCCCATTAAGAATGTGACTTTCCCACATAGATGTCACAAGGAATTTAAATTAAATCAGTTTACTTTAAGGAAAATATATAAGTTGGTAGTAGACATTGATGTTGTACTTCAAGCTAGAGGAGTTTGGCTTCAAGGTCCAAAACACACAGTGACTATGCTTTCAAATTCTGATACAACACTGCAGGTAGGCACTTCTCCCTGGATTTCTGAAGTCAGATTGTATTATAACAAGTGTAGAAAAAGGGAAAACCCTTAAAGAGCCAGAATGGGTGAAAAAGGCCATTTTTTCTCATCAAGGGTGGTTGGAATTAGTCCCAAGGTCTAGCAATAAACCTAGGGCTCTTCTAGTATCACTGTCCTTGCAGTCACTGAGTTGCTCACATGTTCCCACTGCAGGGATCTCTAGGCCCCTAGCCCTTAGCCCTGGGGAAAGTGAGGGTGCAAGCCCACATCTTCAACACTGGTTCAGACATTTTGATTTCTACAAACACATAATCTCATGTTGTAAATGATGCTTGTTACTATAGAGTCATAATGGAATCCATCCTTTTTAATGGGATTTATTGATAATACCAGTCAGGAGAATGACTCATGTACTATCTATTGTCAGTATTTGTTCCTTAATGGGGAACAATTTTATACAGAAGATATTACACAGGAATATTTGTCAAGCTATACCATTAACCAAGATACATCTCAACTTGGAAATTTCTTTGGTTGACCTATGGGAGGTACACCTGTTAACAAATATCTAAGAGTAGCCATGAGATGAGTGTCAAGAAATGAAAATCTTGCTAGAGAAATGAAATCTTAGCCTGACATAACCAAAAAGCAATGTAGTTTCAGTTAGTTACATTGCCACACAGACTCAGAGTGAGGCTAACGATACGAGGCTATAGTTAGACACTGAATTCCTTGTGGCAACAATAACTTTTGCAGCTAAGAAGCAAAAAGTTAAGAAAGATTTACTTATGGAAAACTAGCCAAGAAGTTGTCAACTTACTATGATTTTTAGAATCAATAACAATTTCTTTAAGATGCTACAGAAAAGATATTATTATTTCTTAAGACAGACTTTTAAAAGCAAAAGATAATTATTAATAATAACAACAACCATCATTCAGAAATATTTAATGACATGTAATATGAAAAAACTAGACTTTTGGGGAGAAAATGGCACACTGACTAGAACAGAGGAACCAGAAGATGTTTATTTGCTTCCTTTTTCATTTTCTAAATGCTTCCCCCCAATCATTAGAATATAAAACAAACAAAAAAAAAACTTTAAAAGATTAAGTAATTTCACACTGTTATTTTTAGAAGCATTTATAATGTCAAATGTAATCTGAGTACATGATCATTTTAGGTTTTCTTTTCATCTTGCTTCTTCATTTATGCCATTAGAAAAAAAAAGGGGGAAAAAATGAAGTGAACAAGGTATTAATATCATTTATGTAGATTTAGTTGATCTCTTTGGGCTTGAAGATATGGTAACATATGTTGGTCAACTTTTATAGAAAATCTATGCCAAGCATATGAATTAAACAGAGACAACATATGATTGGGCAGTAACACCAGAAGATGAAATTTTGATGTACAGCAACCTATTTAGTAAGAGCAAAAAAACAGTCTTCTTAAGCATAGGGTTTGTATGTGTAATTAAGGAATAAAGATAAGGAAACATGACAGAAATAGAAAACTAAAAGTGATAATTTAAATCTTTTACAGTGACTATGATCAAAGGTCAGAATGGGAGCCTATTTTGGTATGATATCCATATTCTAAACTGACAAGATTTCCTAAATGTAAAATCCAAAAATTCTTGGAAAGTTTTGTTAGAGAATGCAAAGCACCCTGAGAGTCCTGTCTTCAGTCTTAGTTCCTTCCATACATCAAAATGATAATGATAATGACTCTACATCAAAATGATAATGACTCTAGAGCTTGAATATATACATAACATAATAGGTCTCTGTCAATCCTTGTTAGATGTCCAAATAGTTGCAAGAAAGAAAGAAAAGAAGAAGGAAGGAAGGAAGGAAGGAAGAAAGAAAGAAAGAAAGAACCCACTTGCAATAAAATTTCATTTATCAAGGGTTGAATAGAGACCAAGGTGTCAGTAAGAGACCAACTTACATTAATAAGTTCAACCTCCCAGATTTTTTTCAATAGGTCCATCGATGTGTAGCCATTAATTAGAAAGGCTTTGGTGTAGTCACCCAGCTCAATGGAATCCAGCCACTCAGCTACAGAGGTGGGGTGGTAGCCATCATGACCAATGGGTCTCATCTGTAATTAAGAAAATCACAATTAGGATTGATTTAAAATGTTTGTCTTGTGTCTCACCAAGAGAATGCATTTATCTAATATGAACCATTAGATATTTCTGGATAAGTAGATGAGGAAAAAGAAGAAGCTATACACACAATTCTAAATCATTAGTAATTTTCACGCTGAATTAGTTTTAAAAAATACACCCAGAAATTTCCAATTTAGTTTCTAAATAAACTCTGTATTTGAGAAAATGAAATGTGTCGCATTTCTTTTATAGACATTATTGGCATTCTGTCGGATGGAATTTAAAATAATGTCAGTTAAGAGGTATTTGATGCCGAAGGCTCAAGGAATTGCATTTCCAAAATATAGATGATAATTCTCATATGCCCAACATCAAAGCATGTAAAAATACTGCGTGACTTAGACACTGAAAAGGAATTCATGCTTATGCAAGACATGTATTGTAGGTAGTGCAAACATGCAGGAGAAACATACTGCTGTGGTAAGCCAGTCAAAAAAGAGGCTTTTGAGTGTTTTAAGACCATGTGTTCTGCATCAACTCTACAGTATGTCAGACATGAATAGAGAACTTGCTGGCAGACAGGCTCCTATTTTTTGTCAGCTATATACAGATTTTTAAAAATACTTTAGGAGAACAAAGACGTGTGACAGCAACATAATGTTTGAGTTTAAATTGGAATGTGAAAAATAATTTAAGCAAGAGGAACTTCTGGGTTTAAAATTTCGTATGGATTATTCGAGTCCTTTAGCCTTTAATTGAAATTTCAGTTGAATTTGGGGTTCTTGGTTTGAAGTGACTCACTTCTAAAACTTATGCTGCTTTTGCACACCATGCTACAGATGTAGTACTGGAGTTATTAAGGACAGCTGTCACATCATAAACTTGCTATCAGCCTTCAGTGAAATTCTGATGGGAGCAGCTAAACAGGCCAGATAAAACACAGATTTTTCCAGTTCCTTCAAATTTGAGGAGATAAATATTAATGGAAATCTATATGATTCTGATTTGTGAGCAAACATTAGTCTGAGCATCAGGGATTCAGATTTTAATCTTAAATGTGGAAGCTTTCTGTCACTATGCAGCATTCTCATCTTTTAGGTTCTACTTACATTTTCATGTTAAAGTTACCTTTTCTCCTTTCCTCTTTTCTGTTGTTTCACTCCCCAGTTGAATTTCCATTTTGAGGTTTAAATGTCCCTTGTGTTAAAGTTACAGTGCAATTCATTATTTGCATTAGAGTCTGAATTGCATTAGGTTTTGGTACCTCACTTTTACACTGACTAGCCTATTGTAGGTATTCATTAAATTTTGTTCACGTGTCTCTCAGTATTTATTGCAGAGTAGCTACAAATGTAAATGACAACTCAGGGTTTACAAAATGAAGTTTGGTGATATGCACAAGAGGCTGAATGTTATAAATGTGTAAAACTGGAGACCAGGATCCAAAGTGGAGACTGTTTAAAATCACAGAAATATTCTCCAGGACTTGTAAAGAGGTGATTGAGCTAACTGTACTAGCCTTATCAGTCACTCCAGCCCCAGGAGACTCCCCTGACTGCTGCGGTTGAAATAAGGAAATAAGTGGAGAAAGGGAAAAGAGGAAGAAAGAGAGGAATATCAGAGTTGAAATTAACAGCAGAGCAGGGAGGTCTTGCTGTTAGTCCACCCAAGGAACTGACTACCCAGCAGTGGGTACTGGGGACAAGCTTAGGGAGCCTTGATGAGTTCGTTTGGGGCATAGTCAGTTGTTCATTTCCAGAGAACTGTGCAGTGGGGCCCCTATAGGTTACTCACAAGCATTTGCACATCGCTTCTTTGAGAAAGCAATCAGTGGCCATTTTTCACACTGAAGTTATTGGTGGTCAATGTTTGCTGAAGAACAAGGGATACCCAGTAGACAAATGCAAAGTGAACTTAAGTATAAAGAAATTTGGCTTTCCCCCTTCTTCTTGTTCTCAATACCAGAGAATTTGGAGTCAGAAGAGAGAGAAGGGCAGGTGGGAATATGGGGAGGGGGGAAGGAAATAAAACTGGAAGTTTAGGAAGCATCCAGACTGAGTTGCCAATATTTAAATAATGAGAAAATTATTGGATATACATGAGATCACATTAAGAGATAGCAAAGAGAAAGTCAGTTGAACACAGTTGAAGGCAGTGATTGATTGGGGGAAATTACAGCAGTGTCTCACTGAACATAGACTGCTCAGTGATCTTGTTTCACGTAGAAGGTAAGACCAAACTTAAAGAGGTGGGAGGGATGGATATACTTAATGCAAAGGTGAAAGGTAGGAGCAGTTTATAGTGCAAAGATGAAGAGATCCTGGATACAGATGTGTGCAGGGCAGTATCCATCCATCCACTTATTCAATAAATATTTAATCAGTGCCTATTCAGACAAATGTTGTTGAAATAGTAGGGAACAAAGCAGTCATAGTCTCTCCCCCATGGAAATTAGAAGTCTTAATTAAAACTATGTGAACAGATGATCAATAAATTATGAAGGTTTCACATACCTGAAAAGAGGAAACCATTAGAGCCAAATGAAGTTACAAAATTAACTTGACACATATTTAATGATATGCAGAATGGTTACTGTGCTAACCATTCTTGTGCTGCACAATAATTTCTTTCAAAGCAATTCTCCCATCTGTTCCTTTATTTCTGTTCCTACTGCCACTACCCTGTTTAGGTTCTTGTTAGCACTTGCAAAAACGAATGCAAAAGCCTTTCACTTGGCCTCCCACCTTTGGTTCAGCTTAGATCTAGCTACTACATTTGTCTTCTTAAAAGTCAGGCTCTTCTTCTACCTTCAGACCAAAACCTGTGGTGACGCCTTCTTGAGAAAAGTCCAAATGTCCTAGTCCAGCATTTAAGTCAACTGAGATCATTCTAATTTCTCACTATTCTGTTCTGTGTACCCTGATAAATGTATTTAGACACAGGTGTGTACCTAAACAGTCATTAAATTGCTAGCCATTCCCTGAAAGTGAACTGTGCAAGGTACACACATATCTCTGCTGATACAATTTTCCATGCTTGTAATGCTTTGGTCCTTATTTCTGCAGTTATTTTTCAAGGACTAGCTTCTCTTTGTGAGTGCTACAATACAAATTTTGAATCATCTTTAGGGCATCTCATGTAGATGTCCTATACATGTCAGCAGTATTAATCAAAAACCAATTTATGTCTTTCAGCTCAAAAACTGACTCTCCTCAGTCTTCCCATGTCAATCAATGAGGAACACCACTCCATTGCCCAAGTGTAAGTTTAGAAGTGAGAGTCATTTTACTTCTCCCTGTTTACTTTCAGATAGCATTAGGACAGCAAGTCCTACCAATTTGACTTCCAACATGTCTTTCACCTTAGTCCTTTTCTTCCAAAGTGAACTTTGGACTCTAACAATACCACCAGTGCTATTTATTTGTGATCTTTGGCAATTTATATTCCTTTTGAGCCACAGTTTCCTCTTTTCTAAAATAAGCATAATAATATGTACCCAAGTGTTGTTCTAAGATTATATGATGTGGTATTAATTGTTTAGCATGGTGGTTTGATACTAGCTAATCAATAACTCTTAGTTCTCTTCCTCATTTTTGAGTATTTGCATTGCCTCTTGTTTTGTGTAGCCATAAGTGTTCACATCTGTTGCCATTAAAGAAGCTTCATTTCCTTTACTGCATTTGTTGGCATCTTTCTATCAATCACATCATCGTCTCTTTGTGACAACTATGCAAGGGATAAGAGTGGGAAAATTCCAAGTTTCTACCTTGGATACCTGAGTATATAGTGTTGTTACCAACCAGGAAAGACAATAAAATAAAGTAGGATGACATGAATAATTTTGTGATCTGAAAAATTAAAGATGTGGTGGAATGGCACTTTAACTTTGGGGAGGAAGTCTGGGGAGTCATATGACCTTGGCATCATCAGCCATACAGATAGATGGGAGTCTTGGCTGCTCCATTTATTAGTTGTTTGACCTTGAGTGCACTACCCATCCTTGCCAAGCACCCACCATCTGATTAGTAATATGAGAGATTAAAAAAAAGATTATCTACCTTTGAGGGCTGTCACATATATTCAGTGAAATAATGCAAGTAGTGTAGCACAGTACTTCGCACAGAGACACTGAATAAATTTAGTGATTTGTGTCGTAAGTGAGAGCTGAAATCATGTGTGGATGAGAATGATTATGTAGTGTGAGAAGAGATGTGGCCTGAGAATGAACTAACACTTCCAATGTATGATGAAAAGATAAGAATTATATTCAGGAGGCTAAAAGAAAAGGAATTGTCAAGATACCAAGTGGGAGAAATGGAGTTCATGGAAGGTGTGGTCAGTAGTGACAGGTCTCGTGAAGTCTAATAAGATGAGGGCGGAGATGAGCTTGTGGGATCTGGAAAGTAGGTCACTGTGGGCCTTGAGAAGTATACAGAAGGCTGGCTGTACCCAGTTGGGGTGTGAGTTAGAGATGAGGAAGTAGAAAGTACAATTTAAACTGCTCCTCTGGGGAGGCTAAATGGGAAGAAAAGGAGGGAGATGCAGGTTTTAGAAAGCACAAAGGGAAAGGCATGGAAAGAAGATATAGGGTTGAGGAAGGTCAGAGTCATAAAGCAACATTACTGGAGATCAAGGGGCAGGGCTTGCTTTTTGCTTGGAGATTTTGCTTGCCTTTCTCAAAAATTACAGAGCTGAAAAGGATAGTTGGAGTTAACTTTGAGATTAACAATCTCTGTGTTAAAAAAGTGAGTGTCTGGAAGCTATGTGAGTCGCACCTGGTGAGGGCTGGATGCTTGTATGTGAAGTACTTGTGTGACCTCTGGGGCAGGTCCTAATGCGGGCAAGGGCTGTTATGTGTGCCATGCCACTTCCCAGATACAAACACACAAACAAAGCCTTTCTGAGGCCCACTTGTGCCAACAGTACTCTCGTGCCAGCCTCAGCTGCTTAAACTTGCCCATGAAGACACAATGGACTGCAGCTTCTCTAT